TTAAAACAAATTACTTGCACCAAAAATAATATTTAACATGTATTTTATATTCAAGTATACACCATAAACCAAACATATTCTTAATTATTCAAATTCACACACTATAATTTATAAATCATGCACATATAAATTTATTCCACATGTTAAATTTAACATAAATAAATATTATTTTTAATATATTTTGCATGAATTTAAAACATCATATAAATGACATATTTATTTAATATGATTATGTACCTTTCACCATATTGATGAATAAGAAAGTACGAATGTTCATTTCTCCGTTGTAGTCACAAATTAATCATACAAAAAAAGATCCATAAATCAAAATTTTATAATTTTAAAAATTATATGAATTAACTGTGTACCTTTCACCGTCATTGAAAGTTGTTACCATCTTCTTTAAAATTGCATACTTTAATATTAATCATAAATAAAGTATAAATCAAAATCGAAAATCAAAAATCAAACCTAAAGATTGTTAGATCTTGTGTTGGGGGTCTGCTGCAAAACATGAACAAGAAGAAGATGATGAAGACGGTACGATGAAAGTTGCACAAAATAATTCCAAATCGTATATTTACACTAAGCTTTAGGTTCGATTCGCCCCCACCAATTTATGCAAATTGGATGCAAAAGGGTTAACCAGAGAATCCCCTTCAGGATACTTTGGAAATCTTAACATGAATCGCACATTCGCATTAAACATATCGATCAACAATATTTTACAGAATAAAGTTCTATTATTTATTCTCGTGCACTAGAAAAATAAAAGAATGACTTAGATATATTTTTTGACATTTGAAACAAGTAATTTTTGTGTATATTTTATGCCTAACAAGTATCGCTATTTATAGAAAAACTTGTACTGGTTGGTGTGGAGAAACAATGTTTCATTTGATTCCAACATGACCATTCACGAACCATTGTATATCAATAACAACAAACTTTTTCATGAAAAGTTGTGTTAATCTGGTGGTTACACCTTTTGACCACGCACTCAATCATTATAGGGTCTCTGATTCTATTCTAGATAGTTGCAACTTTTGGCCATTTATTTTATTAATTTAACCATTATTATTTATCAATTTAATATTTTAGAATTTTCTCCAACACCAAGTAACGTTCTCTTTTTTCTCGCTCTCTAAAAATGCAAACCCGACAGAATATGTCTTCTCAGTTGAGGTAACACTAACCATCTCTAATAATGGAAGTCTATATTTGTTGGTTTTGTGCGTTGAATCAAGTATGAGCGCAGTAGGAAACATGTTGAACAACTTTAATGGATCAGGATGAGTCTAAAATATATCTCTAACGTCACATTAGGTATCTAGACACATAATTGTTATCATCCAATAGTTTCAAGAGTTGTTACATTTTAGTTATATCCCCTATAAGCTCCTTGTTAGTTTGGTATCAAATATTATACACCTACCTGATATTTGATAAATTTTTAGGTCTTTTCTGTTTCAATGTTGTAATTATATTTTTCGGTTGAACCAAATATAATGTCATGTCAGCAACACATTCCTTCTCTTTTGGCATGAGCCGATACACAATTGGATGACCGGATAATTTTTCACACAAATCATGGTTATGCAAATTGCGTATGACATTAAATATTCATTTTTTTTGCCAACATGTAACCTCGCACCTTAAAGGGACACTCACATTTTCTTGAACTGGTGTCGTCTCTTTTAAAACTTCGGAGAGAAGTTCTATATTTCCCACTTCTTTCGCACGTCATTGTAACAAAAGTGCATCTTCTATCTGAACCATTATCGGATCTTCTGATAACCACCCAAAATCCAAGTTTGGAGGTCTTTATAAAAATCTATTGAAGCATTTAATCACGAGATTCAAACTCTTGCTTGTTTTTAAATTGGTTGTCAACATCTACCGTCTTCACAATAACACCTTTGACATTCGGAGAAACAACTTTTTTGTGGAAAACATCGGGGTGCCCCATATCTAATGAAAACAATTACCACATAACAGTAAATAAGCGCTGCTGCTGAAAATAGTTTTGAAAAGTGAACACATACTATTATAAAAAATGCATCTCTGAAAAAGTTCATACTTGTTCAGAAGATAGATTTCTGGAAGAAAAAAACGCTCGTATTTCAGACAAAAAACATGATTAATGTGAGCACTGCACTGTGAAATAAATGACTGTTACCTGAAATTCTAACTTCTTTTACTCCCTTTGATATGATGAACCACAAGATTGGAGATTTAGAGTAAAAAAATAGATTGAGAATGAAAGGGTTTTTAGTGAGGATTTGTAGAGAAAAATAACAATGGTTGTGTGATCATGCAGCTGTGTTTTTTATCAGATTACTTCGAAGATGTATTTTCGAAAATATCTGATATGCAAAGATGACAACAAATTTCAAAATCCTATCCAAAATTTCAAAGATGCATCTTCAAAATTGCTGCTGAGTTGATCAATTATGAATATAGTTCTTGAAATATTTCAGAGATATATCTCCGAAATTAAAAAACTCAATTTATATGACGCCAGTTAAAATAATATGTAGGGTCTGTTTGGTTCAAATGAGGGGGAGGGGAGGGGAGGGGAGGGGAGGTGAAGGATTTTTTTTAATCAAATATGTGTTTGGTTCAAAAGAGAGGAGGGGAGGGGAGGGGAGGGATTTTAATTAAAAATGTGTTTGGTTCAGAAGGGGAGGGGAGGAGTTTTATTAATAATTTACATTTTTATCCTTATGATCTTATATAAGTCATATGATATTAAAATGTGAATAATTCGTGCGTATTTTTGTTAATAATAAAATTTCTAATATTAAGTGATTAAAAAAGTATTTATTTGTCACATAAAAGTTAAAAAATTGAGTACAATTGATTCGACTTATAACTTTCCAACGTAAATTAAACTATATGTCAATAACATCGTTTAAATTGTGATGAATCATATAACAAAACAAATATATAAAATAACTTATTACTAAGTATTAATGGTTCAAAATATTTAATAAAATGAATAAACAAAAATAAATAAAATGATATGGTTTACAATTTGGTAAAAAAAAAATATGATAGAGTACATAACAAAATTAAAAGAAAAAAACGAATATAACGAAACATAATTTTGTTATATAAAAAAGACAATGATTATGATTTATATTAATTATAAAAATTAATAAATAATTTGAAGGTGAAGAACAATTATAATAAGTTGATGAAAATAATCGAGAAAAAACAATAACACAAAAAAAAACAAATAGTTTTGAAATACTGAAATTAAACTAAGAATATTTTAGTAAATATAATAATTTTTAAATATCAAAACTCATATTCCCTCCCCTCCCCTCCAAATCCCCCCAATTTGGAGGGAACCAAAAAGTGTGTTTTGGAGAGATTTTGCTCCCCTCCCCTCCTAAAATTTGAACCAAACATATTTAATTAAAAATTTCTCCTCCCCTCCGAGTGTGTATTGGAGCCGGGGATATATCTCTAAAAACTCAAAATATTTTAATATTTTTGTGTGGTGTTTAAAAAAAATATATAGCACAGAAATTCCATTTATATATCCCCTAAATTCCCATACAACCTTAATTGATCTTACATGAAATAGAAATTGATAAATATTTAACAATCACCAGATTTCTTAATTTATCCTCTAGTTGATCCGCAATCGAACAGTGTAGTTCACCCATCTTTAATTTCTGTACAAAAATACTTGTGACCAATCAGATCAAAAAGTTTTCTTCAAGACAAACGTGTGTTTCATCTAAGAAGTTTATCTCTAAACGGTATTTTTTTTTTTTATTGTCGGAACCACCGCCTCTAACCTCGCCAAGTCGTTTTGGTGGTTGTTGTCCTACCCTATTTTCTTTTTCTTTGGAGAACATAGAGAGCATCTTTAATAAGCAATTAAGGATACGTTTTGTACATTCTCTCAGTAATTTATTTACTAGGACTTTCATTTCATCCAAAATTAATATTAATAGTTAGAATTGGGATTCATATTGAAAGTTTTTCCTCTTTCCCAAATCCATTATTAGTAGTTTATTTGATATTTTGAAAATGTCTAGATCACTTAATTAGATCATATATAGTAAACAATTCAAAATAAGTTTTTCATTATAATTAAATCTGGTTGATTTTAGATTCTAATTATTTTTAAATGTTTGGATAAACAAGTTAAAACCTTTAAAGAGTGATTTTATTTCTAAAAATCATTTTTTATCAAATAAAAAAATTGAGTTTATCTTTTTTGCATGCTTGTCGTGTGTTTTATCTACTTGACCAAGTTTACGCGAAAGACATTATCAAATAGAAGTGTATGCACTAATTTCAAAGTTGAGATAATAACAAGCAAATTAGTTAGTTCAAGAATTTCTATACTTAATAGAAGAAACTAGTGAGTCTCCGTTGCTATTTGCTAACCTTCACTTTGTTAATTTTGCGTGAAAAACCGTCATAATGCTTTTCCTCTAATATTTCTCAACCTCCTGTCATATTGAGTTATCTCACCCAGTTATATCCAAGACCAAGTAGTCAATCTTTTGAAAGCAATGCCTAATATTTTGCTTTATTTTTAATTTCCACTAAGCTGGAATACTACATTCGAAACTCATCTCATCATGAAATGATCCAAATGTTGCAAAAAAAAAAATTATTCAAAAGAGAAAAAATTGATATATTTCTTCTATAATACAATATACATACTAAACAACTGTACTCCCTCACTAAACCATCCCTATGTTTAGGGGTACAAGATGCCAGCATCTTTTCTAATTTACCCATGTCACATTCCCTTGTAAACACAATATCCACAAAATATTCACCCATAATAGGTTGAATATTAATTTTAAAATATGAATAAAGAAACCACTCTACTTGCAAATTAGTTGGGAATTCGATCATTTGCAACTAGAAAAAGAATCCAATACAAAATATGCATTCTGCAACTGCAGATATTTGAACAACATTTGGTGGGGGCGATGAGAAATCCCCAAAGGCTATATTTCATCATGTCATATGTACGCTAGGGAACCACGGTCAAGGTCGGGCTGTGGTCGACCACGAGTAGGAGTTGGTGGCCTCTGAATATTAAGCTCCTATAATAAGAACAAAGTATAAGTCTATAAACATTTTCACCACTCAGCAAGTGTATTTTTCAGTTATTGCTGAACATGGTACAGAGAGGCAAGCTTACCTGCATCCATGTCTCGTCCATGACACGCTCAGGAGATGACTCTGGTGACTGAAGAGGAGGTGGTATAGGATGAATTAATTTTGGAACCACAACCAAACCCCTGCCAACCACCAGTATAGCTCCTGCGTTGTTTGCAGTTCCTAAATAACACACCCAAAGTAAGATTGAAATGCTACCACATGCAAAAGAGAATGATGATGAGAAATTGTGCTTACCACAATAGTTAGTTGCAGAAAAAAGGGTGATTAGTTGTCCCTGGGCAAATCGCTCAAAACCATCCATGACACACTCATGGGCCCTTATGATGAGCTGTAATTTATTTTTCTTACAGAACTCTGTGACTCGGTCAGGCTGCATAAAGTAAGAAATTAACTGGTCAAATCTGCATTTAAATAGCATGAAGAAAAGGCATGTGTGGCTATTGAGTAATATTATATTCTATAAAATGTAATGTCATGAAGACAAAAAAGATATGAACTTTGAATTACGTTCAGAAACAACTATTGATATTTGCATGTAAAATTGTATATTAATTGTACATTTGAACTTTTATGCCCTAACTCTTAGATCATGTAGAGCCCACCAAAAAATTTCAATTGATTTTTTCACTTTTTTCCTTTTTGGTTCACAACTTTTATTTATATCACTACATAAAAACAACCATTGACATTTGCATGTAAAATTGTGTATTAATGGTACATTTGAACTTTTATGCTCTAACTCTTAGATCATGTAGAGGCCACCGAAAATTTTCAATTGATTTTTTCACTTTTTTCCTTTTTGGTTCACAACTTTTATTTATATTACTAAATAAAACCGTGGGTGGGTATGAAGAGGAGGATGAGAAGGATTAGTGGACCTTTTCAAATAACTAAGAACCTAAATCATTTGAGAGAACTTGCCTAATAGCATGAAAGGCTCATTTTTACAATGAGTGATAGTGTACTTACCCCGAATGTGACGAGCCCTGGCCCTCTAGCATTTGGTCTCAAACCCTCCACACTATCATTTTCTGTGGGATCAGACCTTCAAATGTACAGATGCTATAAGACAAAAGGAAAGCAAACATAGCATAGCAAAAAAAGAAAAAAGAAGAAAGGAGGATACCATAAAAGATCCATTAAAATAATAGACCCTGCATCCATTGTTATGGGCCTTTCAATCTTCTCTATCTGTTCTACTGAATGGATAGATCTTCCAATGCCACCATGCATACATATAATTTTCTTTTCAATAAGAGCAGCGAGGGGAAGATGGTTAAAAAGTTGATTGAATCTTGTCCACGCCCATATGCCGTCATTTTCACCCTACAAGCACCTTAGTTAGCTGCAGAGTTGAATCTAAACACACAATCAAAACAAGTATGTATTCGCCTTTACCATTCGTTCAATGCACTCTATACGAAAACCAAATAATGCATTTATGTCAGCAGCCTCGTGATTTCCACGTATCAAGTGAACATTGTCAGGATATTCAATCTGGACAATCACAAGAACACCAGTAAAAGTCAATTATAACAACAATGAAGGCCAAATACAAAAGTATCTGGCATCTTTTTATAGCTAAAAGTATCTTGCCTTAAGAGCAAGTAGCAAGGTAATGGTTTCCAAGCTGTGCTGTCCTCGATCAACATAATCTCCTAAAAACAGGTAGTCAATATACCTGAAACAAAAAAATATTTAACTTATATAAAAAATGATCACTTTAAGTAGCATTGCAGGAGAATAATGCATTCAACAAATTCTCACTTAAATGTTAACACTGGAAAATGAGTTATTTACACAAAACAAACTGAAACAAACCAAGGCTACATTTGGATTGGTTTATGAACAACTTATTTTAACTTATTTATTGACATAGGCACTTGTTCGATAGTAGCTTATGAAAATAGGAGGTTGTGACATGTCCATAAGATGTTTACATTTTATTTCAGTAAGCTCTCCACTATAGCTTATAGGAAAACAATTTAATCATGTTTTCTCTTTGATTATAGAAATAGCTTATACATAAGCGATAATCCAATCAACAATTAATTAAGTTGTTTATCCAAATTCACCTCAAGGGATGAATTAAACTATTGTATTAAGAAACAAACTGCACATATTAACTTAACACACAACATCACCCTGCATGTTTTACTGCAAATCGCAATAAAAGTAAACATTTCTACAAATGGATTTTGGATGGGAACAGTTTTCAACATGTTGTAGAGTGCAGATGCAACAAACCATTCAGAAGAAGTGCATGTTGAAATCCACATTTCAAAGGAAAGGAATATTTTTAGAGCCAATCAAATAGGGCCTCAAGTGCACAATAACTGTATTAAGGTTGAAAATGAAACCCTGATGCTAAGTGCACAATAACATCCACCAGGGCCTCAAGTGTATCTAACGTAAAATTTCTTGATGTATCTATAAGATGTACCAACAAATACTCTTAACAAGAATCTGGTGATCTGCTTTCCAAGGAGTTGTTAATTGAAAAAAAGATGGATGGTTGACATTTTATAATATGATAGTCTAAGACTAGAATGTTCAATCTAAATGCTAACTGACGCACAGGAATGAAAATATCCATGATTAGATAGTGTAACAGAAATAGAGAAGGGCTGACTAGTATTATTAGCTATTCTGGCACAAGGAATGTTAATCTACCCATGTATACATGTAACAGACTTACGTGATGTCTCCTGCGGTTGAAGGAAATCCATATTCATCAAATAGCCGCATCAAATCACCAAACTGACCATGAAGATCACCAAATACTTTGACAGGAGCTTTCAGCTGAAGAACAGTTGGTTCGTGGATAAATATTTGCTCAGCAGCATAGCAAAGCTCACCCACTTCATAAGAATCCAAAAAGAACCGCCTATTTGCAGGTGCTTTCCAGTTGCGAGGCTTGAGCAAATTTGAAATTATCTGGCAAATAGAGAATGACAATAAGTGATTATCTAGTATACCAATATGATATGATAATTATATGTGTAGCCGTGTTAGGTTCAAACAATATAAAGTAAGAAGAAAGTGCATTAGATAATGCTTGCCTTTTTATGTAAACCCTGAGGGGATTTCTGCCTGGTGAACTTTTTTGTAGGATATGGCGAATCACTGTTTATTGGTAGCATGCGTCTGCTTTCATTTTCAAATTGATCGAGTGATAATTGTCTCACCATTCCACCTAGGTTACCTATAGCCTCTTTAGCAACTACAACCTGCAATAAAATTATATTAATTTGCATCCTTGAGAGAAATTCCATCAGTTATAAGCAAGGATTCCAAGCACATACAGCTCTAGGATGAAGGCGAACATCTCCCTCTGTGTCACTTCCATCTGCAACTGTGTCTGCAGCATGTGAGTTGTCATCTGACACAGATGTTTCATCAGCAGGACTACTTGATATAGCTTGCACAGATTGCCAGACAGCACTAGCTGCCTCAGCTTCAGCAGCTGATGCCTCCCTCAGTTTCTCCAGAGAATATTTGTCCAAGCTGGTAAAATCAATACATATCAAATTGTCATAAAATTTAAGTAGTCCTTGCACAAGAATGATAAGCTAGAAGTGTTGAGCTTCTAAAAAACGAAAAACAAATAACATACCCTGGGCCACCAAATGACGGGGTTTCTGGTCCACCATCCAAACTTGGTGTGTCTCCATTATAATTTAAGTTAGGCTGATTAAGTTTGGGACTAGCAAAAGGTGAACCTGATGGCGAATTTTCAGCCATTAAGAAATCACCCAGTAGTGTATCTGCATAGGTTAACATGGTTTTCTCATAATAGGTAAACAGAGAAAAAAAATTAGAAATATCTATGGCTACCAGTTTAAGAAGAGTGAAAATATCAATTTGTCATGACACATCCAGTCCAGAATAAAAATTAGAAAACATAAAACCTTCTAATTCCTTCAACAGGCCATCTAGTTCCTGCTAGCTAACTGTTAGAATGTAACACATTCTTCTAAGTGCATTGTATCACTAAATTTCCATTTCCAGCGACTTTTTCCGGTAACTTTTTTTGCCACTGTTCCCGTCACTCAAACCCATTCTCTATGACCCATTTTCTCCACAGCTGTCTCCCACTAGTTTTACTGACCTACCATATCATGGCTATTAGGTTTTTATATCGGGTCTAACTCATATTTACAAAACTGACTTGTAAGATGGGGTGTCAAACTATATGAACTCATTTCAGACCTTATCTTTATTCTATTTGGGATTTAAATTTTTTCCAATACACCTCAAGCACAACACTATTGGGTTGATACATGGATATAACCAATTATGAATGGCCTGTACCGATATCCCTTGATACCATATTAGATTTTTCTATTGGGTCTAACTCATTCTTACAAAATCGGCATGTAAGCTGTGTCACTCTTTATAAACTCATTTCAGTATGACATATGATAACCTATTTGGTGATGACTCGTCGTCAGAGATATAATGTGGAAACGAATTGTCCTGCTACGATATGGAAATTAGTAGATGTATGATTGGACATGGATAAGAAAATGAACTGGACACATCTGCCTCAATTTAAGTAAAACAACAGACATAACTTGACATGGGGATCCTGTTGAATCTTGCTAGGAGGGTACACAGAACTAGAGTCCCATACAGCTGTCAATAAACCAATAAATGCTAGTGGGTTTAATAAAAAGTACAAAATTAGTACATTGATATGACAGACTGGCGGATGGTATTTATCACATGTAATGCAGAGTTATTTTATTCTTATCAGCCTAACTGCTTTTGTAGTGATATCTTGCATTTGGCTTTTCATGAAGGGGAAAAAAAAACTTAATCCCTTATTACTATCATTACAACTTCATCACAAATAATGCAAGTACTTACCTCCTCTAAGACCACCATGGACATAGACTCGAACACCAACAGCTGCTGCTGCATGGCGACAACGACGCATAAGCTCCAAAGAAGGGTCATAATCATGAGTTTTGTTTGAGCGTGACGAGGACACAATGCCATTTCTATCCAACCAAACCCCAGCAGCAGTATCCAATACTGTATAAAGAAATAATAGTCATGCACACACGCATAGAGGAAATAAATAAGATGGCAAAGAAACGCAGAAAATAAAAAAAATTGGTAATGTATTGTAAACACAAGTTACCTGCAATGGATGGTTCACCTTCTACAGCTCGCCCGCCCCTAAGAACACCTCCAGTAACATGTAATCGCGCACCAACAAAAACCTGATAGAATGAATAATATATTCAATCAAAAAACAATCTTCAAAGGTATTATAGTCAGAAGACATCTCATAATATCATGATTATAGCTTAAATTAAGGTGGTAGCTTGGTGATAAGAGACTAAGAGCTTTGCATTGTAACCTCAAAGGCTAGAACTCAAATCTCCTCAGGAACAGTTGTAAAATGGTCGTTATTGTAACTTTAATTAATGATAATTTCCCCCAACCAATTTTTTTGTTTTTAAAAGAGTGTCAAAATGATCTGTTTAGAATAGTTTCAGTATTACTAATATTTCATGATTTGTTTCCTTGCTTAATTAGGGTTCTCAATCATCTATTAGTATGAATTGAGTTTGTGCCTAATCTTATGTATCACGCTTTTCCAATCAATAGATATGATTTTAGTCTCTAGTATTCTCTTCTTTACTCTTCTACCTAGATCCCTATAATTTTAACAAAATTGAACAACTAAATTTTCCAAGATCAATTCACATCATTATAAAATTAAAACTCTCACCAGTTTTCAGCCAGAAATCTTGTTTTCATTTAACAACTAGAACTTAGCCAGAACTTGTTATGGGAAATAGCATTAAATAAGAAACAGATATCCACCGAAATATTTAGAATTTCAGACTCTCTCCCTCCCTAACATGAGGAAAATTGAAGATATAGAACAAGAAAACTAAATTGAGCATTCACCTGTTGACAAGAGAAATATTACAATAAATGATATAGGAGCAATATAATTATATTTTTAACACAGTATTTCTTTCCCAAATTTAAATTTATGTTGACCCTTAATATCTCTATTGTCTGGTATATTCCTATTTAATGTTTATAATCTCTCTAATATATCTCTATTGCATCATATTTCCATATAAATGTAATGACGGTTCAACTTTCCAATTCCATAAGCATGATGGTAAAAGCCATAATGATATACAAACAACCAAAACTTGAGTTCTTCAGACGAAAACATTTAAAAGCAAGAGGTAAGAATTGATATATTTTTTGCAGGGCAGACAGTGCTTTATTCGCGCAAAGAAGGCATTAGGAAAGCACCAAGCAGTAGGAGCAAGGACAAGGAAGAAAAGTGGAGAGTGATTAATAGTGCAACAATGCATGGATAAGTTTGTGCAGTGCAGCGGTGCTTCATAAGTGAACTGAAATATTGGATAGCCAAATAGTTAATGTTTGCTAGAGGCTTCCGCACAATCACTAGAAAGGAGTGAACAACTGAATGGTATTCACTGGTAGGGTGGAAACCAATGTTATCATGATCAATTTCTACCTTGGATCAGAAGGAAAATATCAAAATCATGAAAGGAACATGACATAAGATCCTACCAAAATGAAAAAAATATACTAATATATATTAAACTAACATTTAAAAATAGTTCAGTTAAAGAAACTAGAAAATTAATGTTATTTTATGTTAATTGATTTTATTATAAAAAATATATATATTTATCTATTATGGCTATGGAATATTTGAAATTAATCCATCAATCTTTACGCAATCTATTATTGGGCCTTCATGAATAGCTTAGCACTCACCCTAACCAATGTTAAGCAAAATAGTGAACAGATAATTAGAAAATAAACAGAAAAAACTACAAAAGGGCCCTTTCAGCTTTAGATAGGGCTTGCTGACAGCATGATAAGATTGAGACCGATGATAAAAACAACAGAGTGGAGAATGGAGACAGTGCGCCAGTGATGTAGATCTGCTGCAGCAGCCGCACAATGTAGCTGGAACCATACCAACTTGACCGCACTACGAGGGAAGTTAGAGGAAGAAGAAGTATGGGGATGTGGATGCTTCGCTGCAGCAGCCGGGCAGCATTTACTGGAATTAAGTTACACGGCCTGATCTAGAAATGGCATTTTTTGGGCTTGCAAAAGATTCCGTGATCTCGCCAATTTAAAATGTGATTTCGCATGCAATCCAACCCATACAAGGAAGGAAAGATTATAAGATCATGGATCTGACAATTTAGATCACAATCTTGACAACAAAGGTGGGAATGATCGCAAGGAAGTATTGAGAGGTAACCAAAATGAGAAGACTTCTAGTGAAAGTTGAAAAGTTGTCATTTAACGTGTTTTTGGGCGTGGTTTTTTCTTTGTATAGAACTTGCTCACTTGAGCATAAGCACACAGTTTTGTTTGGGTCTGGGCGAGCCCACAAGAGTTCAGCAGAGTTTACTCAACGAGATTGTATGATGCTATTCAACTTGATTTTCGTACCTAGAACTGAAAACCCATAAATGAAAACCCGGACGAGTAAATAAACTAACTCGCCAGTTTGCCAACCATGGTGTGTGTACGAAAGATAGCTTTAAGCGGGTAATTATCTTAATAAAAGTGTGGAAACATGGTGAAAGTTGATGTTTTAATCCATTAGATGGAAATGAAATTAATTCTTACAATTGACATCTGTGATTTTATTACAATAGTTAAAGGAGTTTAATCTTGACATCCATGCCATGCACGAATGAACGGTCAAAAATAAAGAACCAAATCATATCATTTTTTAAGAAATGACTAAAAGAGAGAGATAATGAATCCTAGTGATGAAAGAAATATATAAGAAATTTACTGTTGAAATCTCCCACTTACCGATGCATGTTGATACCTAGGTGAAGGGGAAACTCCAGGTGCAAGAGTCCATTCCCACTGGCCATTTCTATGCATGAGCAGTCCATAGGCGTCTGCTAGTGGCTGCAGGGAAAAAAACACAATAAATGCTATTATATTTCATCAAATAGGCCTCAATGGAAGATTCGGAACAATATGGCATCACGAAAAATTCTTTTCTTCAACAAAATTACTTATTATTCAGCAGCATACTACAATTTAATTAAAATGGGGTGTCATAATCCAAGCATCAAATATTATCACATCATGTTTTCTAAAAGCAACAGAATATGATTATATAAACAAAAGAGTATGATAAGACTTACAGTTCCAGAAGAGTCTCTTCCACCACAGAGTAAAAACATTCCATCTGAGCGGGCACTAGCAGTCGCATACCTATAAATTGAGGTAGAATAATGTAAAATTCTAATATACTTATATAATTGAAAAATGAAGACAGTTAAGGATTCACTTGCCAAAAGGCTAGACAGGCTTACATTCTAGCAGAAGGCCTGTCGCCTTCTGGGTTCAGCTTCTGCCACGCATAAGGCTTTTGAGCCGTATCTAAAGTCCAAGCATCAGATACAACTCGTTTTCCTACCACATAAATAAAATATAAAATTATGTCATATATCACAAGACAACATAATATTTCTTTACAAACATGCATTCTATAACCAGACAAATCACAAAAATATGTAGTATATGACTACAGAGAATACAACTTCAAGAAATTCCAATTTAATAGTGTTTATTTGAAAAATTTGTATCAAAACGAAATGCCAGTATTTAATCATTTACCACGGTTTCATTAATAAAATGCAGGAAAAAGATAACCAGTCCAGAATTTCTCTCACCATCATTTCCGCTGACGGTAACAAGATATCTCTGAGCAACCAAGTCCATTACATGGCCATAGCGAGGCCCCGGTCCCTGCCCTTGTACAACGACTCTACAATTAAAACAATTGTAATATTGAATAACGCCACAGTTTTGTCAAAACTCTAGAAGTAGAAAAAAGAAAACCTAGTTCAATCACCACCAAGCTCACCTGTGCCATTTGTATTTATCATTGGTCAAGTCGAGCACATACAGATCATCAGTGGAATGCCCGGCAGGACCTATCCCACCCTAACAAAGCAGAACCAATCAAACAGATATGTTAAATCACAACACCTTATATCAAAACAAATCAAACAAGTAAAAGAGAATATTAGCATAATTAAATCCCACAATCACCTGAAAAACAACCATGGTCCCAACCGTCGCTGCAGCATGAGCAGCCCGAGGAGATGGCGGGTCTCCAGCAGGTTTAATCCTAAACACCATTACAGCAACAGCCAAACACAATTACTCAAGCAGCAATGCAATCAATCAACATCAATCTAGCTTTTACAACAACAGCCAAAGATAAATTTTACATGAACTGAATTTGAAATAATCAAGAATTAAACCGATCAAAATCAACCAACCTAGTCCATTTCTTTGTCTCAACGTCATACGAATGAACCGAATTCGTAACTCCAGCCAATCCTGCAAAATAAAATCAAACAGATGAAACACGTTTCAAGCAACAATTTAAAAAAACTCAAAAAAAAACGAAGATAGAAGATTATTATTACTAATGCCAGGAGCAGAAGTGGATCCTCCTTCAATGGCAGTTGCACCACCAAACAGAATCAACCGCGGACCATGAGTCTTAGTAGCGGCAACAGCGGTAAGAGTATGTCCACATCGAGGACCAGGAGCATCTTCATCAGTATCCCAAAAACTTTCTATAGGACTATAAGTTGGAGCAGGATGTAACCACGGTTTCGAACCCATCGCTCACTACAAGAAATCGAATGGATGAAAACAAAGAAGAACCCTAGGTTCAGCAATGGTGGTGGGCCCGGAGTATCTCCGGACCCGCTAGATCAGAAGTAAGTAGAGAAATTCTGTGATGTTGAATTGTTGAGAATTGCGAGAGACTATATGAGAGTAAAGGAGAAGAGTTTTTTTTTGTTTTTGGTTTTGGTGTTGGAATTTAGATGATAGATAGAATTGAGGAGTTTTTATTATGAAGTAGTAACAGAGAAAGCACCGAGTTTAATTTATGTGAATTGAATTGAACAAAAGAAAGTGGGAATAGAAAAGAAAAAAAAAAAGGAACCTAGCTTTTAGCTTTTAGCCACCATTTTTCCGATGGCCCGCGCGAGTCAAAACCACTGTTACAGGTTGTCATAAAATGTAAAAATCACCCGCTGGTTACAAACACAAAAATCACTGCCAAATAGTATACTGCCACGTAATACTGTATTTATCTTTGGTTTTGTCGGATTTTAAGTTAATTGTTTGAAAAAGACTTCACCTAGTAGATTTCTTAACCTGGTGAAGTTCATGTGATGAATGATAAGCAAAGATAGTGTGTGTTTATGTGGGATACTCGTTTGATTCGTGTTTTTGTAATTGATGGTTGGGACCATACGGAGACAGTATCTAAGATGCTGCGAAATGATTGTTGTCTACTTATTATACATAAATTTTTATAAAAAAAAATACATGGAAAATGATGTATTGAAAAATCTTGGGGTTCAATACATTGAATATATGATCATTTTTCTAATATATTTAATATTTTACTAATTAATTATAGACAACCGAGTTGATTTAATTGCCTATACTTGAATTTTACCATTCTTCTCACAAAATCTTCTCTTATATGTTTGTTCAATGGTTTACGTATTCATAACGGAATTTAATTAATCACATTTAAACTCAATTATTTTATTTCCAATTAGATAAAATTAATTATTAATGATATTTTAGAATATTGTAATTTTCTTTTTTTCTGTTTCATCTATGTGGTTGGTTGTAATAGATTTGTTTTAGAGAAATATATAATAGATTTCATGTAAAATTTACTAATAGTCGTGCATGTTACATCATTTTGCTATCATAATATATCGGAGGTTTTATGTTTTTGTTAAATTAGATGAAATGGATTTGGTTAAATTGAATGGGATGAATTTTGCTGATAATATGCTATGAGCAAGATCACGTTGTGCATAGATAGGTAATAGAAGAGTTCTCTCACGATTGCTCTATGAACATAATTCTAAGTGTTTTAGGGTTATGATTACATAATTAGAGTTTATGTTGAACATCTTATTTGCAAGGTTTAGAACGGCTGCTCTAACCAAATTAAGGTCTTTAATTTGTAGCAAGCATGAATAGTAATTGGTAATCCATCTCTGAACAATGTAAGATTCATAATTCTCATGTCGATAAGATTAGGGTTTTACGTCGTTGTTATTTTACTTTGGTTGGATTGCTATTTAGATTTCTTGTTTGGTATTTTAATTTAGTCATTAACTTTAGAATTTCTACAATAATATTTATTTATTTTGGAAAAAAAATCATCAAGTAATAATTAGTTTTCGTAACAACAAAAAATTATTATTTGTAAAATCTCATAAGAGTCACATATCAATAATTTATTTGCGAACTAAATTCATTGAGATTGAGATCTAAAAGAATTAAGTCCCTATTTAGTTTTGCAATAGTTTTGTCTAAGTTAGATTCAAAGACAATATTACTAAGAATCACCTAATAGATTACATGCTAAATTTACACATAATCATGTATGTTCCTTCATTTTAATGTCACAACACTAGAGGTTTTGTGTTTTCGTTAAACTTGGTTAAATTGGACGGGTTGAATTTTGCTAACAATATGCTAAAGATCATGTTGTGCATACATAGGTAGTATGAAGGTTCACTCAAAATTACGATATCAACATAATTCTAAGTGTTTTAGGGTTATGATTAGATAACTAGAGTTTGTGTTGAACATCTTATTTTTAAGGGTTAGAATGTCTCCTCTAACCAAATCAAGGTCTGTAATTTGTAAGCATGAATAGTAATTGGTAAGACATTTTCTATAATAGACGGTGTAAGATTCATAGTTTTCATGCCGCTAAAATTATGGTTTTACATCCCTGATGCTCTTTTATTTTGGTTAGATTGTTATTTAGATTTCTTGTTTGGTATTTAATTGTCATTAACTTTAGAGTTTTTATAATAATACTATTTTTTTAGGAAAAAAGTTATCGATTAATAATTAGTTTTCGTAACAATAAAAGATTATTATTTGTAAGTTCTCATAAGAGTCGCATTTATCAATAATTTATTTGCAAACCAAATTCATTGAAATTGAAATTTAGAAGAATTAAGTCACTATTTAGTGAATGACACTTGTCTTAATTATTTACACTTGTTATCGGTGGAATACATTTATCATTAACTAGTAACACTTATTATTAAGCTGAACACTTGCAATTAACCAGAAATAAAATATTTTTTTCTATTTCCTCTTTTCATTTGTGCAGCGCTTCTTTTTAAACTTTTTATTTTTGAAAAAGAAAAATTCTTTTTTTTACAAAAATTTTTAACTCGAGAATTTAATTTTCCTAAAGTTTGTGAAATATTTTTTTGCTAATTTCTTCCTCTTTTGACATGCAAGCAAAAAAAAATTGTGAAAAAATATTAATATTCCTCGCGTTTAGAGCTTGGCCAAAACCAAATTGATCTAGGAGAGTTCGAGATTAAAAATGTTCTAATTCTAAAAGTTGTTGATCTATCTCTTTAATATAAATTTTTCAATTTTTTTTGTTATTTTGACAGTTTTAGAAAAACAAAATTGTATTACTTCAAATAAATTTTAGTTTGTGAAAAAATGGTTTGATCGCATTTGAAATCATCACTACATTGTGGGTAATGTGTGCAAAACTTTATGGTAAGAAAAAATTTCCTCTTAATTTTGTGTGTTGAATTTTTAGGGTCTTTGATTTGAAATTATAGTTGAATTTTTAAATTTTTATTTCATTAAAGGGTTAGATCAAGTAATTATGATTAATGTTCGTAAATATATTAAAAAAATTAAATTTTTAGTAATTTGAAGTAATGAAGAAATCCATTATGTATAAATAAAATTTATTTAAATTAAAAGAGTGCTTGAACTTAAGATTTGAAAGAGAGTTAAAATAAAAATGTCATTGTTATAGCTTTTTTTATTATGATGTTGGAAAAAAAATCTAGTCTCCTTGATTTTCAAAAATATCAAGACTTTTGACACCAACGTATGGGTGGGGAGAATTTTTTGAATAGATTTTTGAGAAAATTATGAATTTATATTTTGAAAAAAAAAAGTAAAATACTTTTAGGTTGAATATGGTAAAAATGTAACACCCCAAATTTAATCGGAATATTTTAATTAATTGATTTAATTGAGAATATTTGTATTTTGGTGTTTTCAGTGGTTTTGAGAATTATTGAAGAATTATGCATATTGGAGTATTTATTTTGGAATAATAGTATGTAATATGGATTTATTAATATTATTATGAATTAAAATAAATATAAGAGAAATGAGGGTAAATTGGGCATTAAGAGGAGTTAGTAAGGATATTATGGGAAAAGCCCAATTGTGTGGCCCAAGTCTAAGTTTGACAAAATAGAATTCTGAAGGTGGAGGATTCATTTTTGTTAACCGTGAAAAGAATGAGGCCAGAGCTCTGAGGAGGGAGAAGTGGAGGCAAAAGCTTCGGAAGATCCCGAAGTTAATCGTGAAAGCTGTGAATCGACTAAGGTATGGGGAGTATCACTTTTCATGATTTTCTATGTATGTCTTTCAATGTGTTTATGGTTGGTTTGGGAGTTTTAGGAAGAATTATGGGAAAGGGGGATTTTGGCCTTTGTGGCCAAAATCTATCATTGAGATTTTGACCGTGATAAGATTAGAAGGTTATGCGAACAAGTGATCTATGGCCTTCCTGCTCTAGATCTATCATAGAGGTGGTAACCTAAGGATTCTAAGGTAAGGATGGGAAATAATGATCTTTGGCCTTCGTGGCCTAAACCTCAAGTGTAAATCTAATCGTGAATTTAATTGAGGAATTAGGGAAATGGATGATAAGATCCTGAGATTATGGCTTATGGTATGTAACACTGAATATCGATATGAGAAAGGGAAACCTTAGGCCTTCGTGGCCAAAACCTTGGGTTGTGATATGTTGACCCTGTAGGAATAGGAATGTTCAAATGTGAGTAACTCTGATGCACTCAGAGCAATTGCAGGAAAATAGTGATTTAGGCAGTGCAAATGTTGTCAGATTGGCCTAATAAACCATAGATTTTGTGTCGTTATCGCCGTATGACCGTAGGGATGTTGTAGGGATGTTTTAGGGGCATTGGGTAAATGAATCGTATGAGCATTTGGGCAAGAATCAGTTCTGGTCGTAGCAGAGTTTTGCTGTCATCGCACTATTCGCCTAGCGAGCATGCCAGCGAAGACTCGCCACAGACTCGCCTAGCGAGCATGCTAGCGAAGACTCGCCACAGACTCGCCTAGCGAGCATGCTAGCGAAGACTCGCTACCGACTCGCCTAGCGAGCAAGCCAGCGAACGTAGCAGAGTTCGCGAAATTGATCGTTTTGCAGCGATGCCTTGATGTTTGATTCTGAGATGAGTTAACATGAGTATGACAGTGAGGAATTATGTGATTGATAGGCTATAGTCTGAAGATTACCGCGGGTATAAGTTGATGAATTAATATGTGATAATATGGGATAATATTATGATGTAATATGAGATGATATGGGATAATATTATGAATTAATATGAGATAACATGTGGTAGTATTATGAATTAAGATGTGATAATAGGATGGGCTAACATGAGGATGACTATGAGCTAATATGTGATTTGGACGTGATTATATGATGATTTATATGATGATGATGATTGTTATGATGAATTATGTGATAACATGAGATATGATGATTT